CCCATTCAATTGGACATGGTCGTATTCAGAACCGTTTTGTGAGGATTGAATAATACCTTTTCGATTGGAGATGCTTATTACTTAGAGAAACATTTTCAGAATTACGGCTGAAATCCATTAGTTTGTTAGTTTTGCAAGAGCAATGCGGCAAGCATGTGTAGCACAACAATATATTCATTGAATTTTTGCAATAATTTAGGCCCTTTACTGTATTTGATTTATACTTTTGATTTACATACATGTATTGTGCATTGTGCTATACAAACTTACGCGGATCATACGCAGCTTTCTTTTCATTTTGACTTGTCTCATCTGGATGAAGTGTCATATAAGATAAATTCTGGTCTTGCCAACATCACTGATTTTTGTAAAAGACACATGTTGAAGATTAATCGGGATAAGAGTACTTGCATACTTTTTTATCCTAAACATTTGCATAATAGAGTAAGAGACAGAGTTGCATTGAGCATGAACAACGAGCTCATTCCTATTGTGGAACAAGCAAAAAATGTTGGTGTCATCTTCGACTCTAGTTTAAGATTTGACAAACATGTGTGTCATCTATCGAAGTCCACCTACATCAAATTAAGACTCCTATATGCTAATAGATTTATTTTGAACTTTAAAACGCGTAAGAAGCTAGTTGAAAGTTTGATAATGTCTCAACTACGCTTTAACCTTATACTATCCTTGTCTTGACTGGATGAATCGGTGTAGGATCCAAAGAATGCAAAACAACTGCTGTAGGTTTGTGTATGGTCTTCGAAAATATAGTCATGTCTCCTCTAAGATCAAGGAGTTGAAATGGCTGAGAATGGATCAGCAATTTGAATATAGTCTTAAGGTATTTGTGCATAAGGTAGTGTGTACTAAAAAGCCCATCTACCTCCATAGTAAATTGGTAACTAGAGGAATCATTAATATTAGAGATCTGAGGCATAATAATAACACTGGACAACAAATTTTAGTTTTTTAATTGTATCTTGTGGGAAAAGTGCACTTCTTTGTTAATTTTGGGGCGCTGAATCCAAAAATGACAATGAAATAAAAAAATTAGTTGCGGTTTAGAAAAAAAAACTTTTTATTTTTAAGGATATATTAAAAAAAGTAACAAGATTCATATACTTATAAGAATCACTATATGCGCTGTCTTTTTGCTGTTCTTTTATGGATCGTTTCTGGAGCATCTCTACCAAGAGTCCAACAGTAGGAAAACGTTCGCCGTGCTCATCACTTACGGCTCCGCAATTGTCAGGAAAAAAGTCCAGGTGTGAGTGTAGGAAATGTATCTTAAGAGACATATTACAGCCCATCTTTTGATACGATGACAGCATATTTTTGACAAGGGTTTTATAGTTGTCAGCTTTTCTATTTCCCAAGAAATTAGTGACCACCAGACGGAAATCATTTCAAGCAGTTTTTTCAATACCTGTTAAAGTGTTTTCAAACTGTGTATCTTTCGAAATATTTCGAATCTGTGGCCCAACAAAAATACCTTCTTTAACCTTTGCCTCACTTAGTCTTGGAAACTTCTGACGCAGGTATTGAAAAGCTGACCCATCTCTATCTAATGACTTGACAAAGTTTTTCATTAGGCCCAACTTGATATGCAGTGGTGGTAATAAATTTTTTTCGAATCTACTAATGGCATATGCTGTACATTTTTTTGACCTGGCTCTAGGAATTGACGAACAGGACAGTTTTGTCTGGTGTAATGAAGTGCCTTTGCCCGACTGTCCCATTCACACAAAAAACAGCAAAACTTTGTGTAGCCTAGCTGCAGCCCAAGTAAAAGTGCAACAACTTTCAAATCGCCACAAATATGCCATTGGTGCTCATCGTATTTTATGCATGTCAATAGGTACTTCATATTGTCATATGATTCTTTCATGTGAACTGCATACCCTACAGGGAGAGATGGTAAAATATTTCCAATATGCAATAACACTGCCTTTAAACTCAATGTTGAACTGTCTATAAACAATCTCCATTCTTCTGGGTTATAGTTTATATTTAAAGCCGCCAGTAAGCCGTTAATGTTACTGCAGAAAACCAAGTTATTCTCCATATTGAAAAATGGTTCTAAGTCTTTGTGGCGTTTACGAAAAACACATACCGAAACATCGTCTTCTAACAAGTTCCACTGCTGCAGTCTTGATCCAAGTAACTCTGCCTTACGTTTTGGAAGTTCAAAATCTCTTACAAGGTCATTTAATTCTGGCTGTGTTATTTTGTGCGATTGGTGGCATGACGTGCTCGGTATAAAATCAGGATCTCTTGACGTTGATGGCATATCTTCTTCCTGACGAATCACTCGATCGCCATGATCTGATTCGTTTTCTGATTCGCAAGTGTAGGATTCTGGGGGTTTTGGAATAGGATTTTCGTCACTGTGAGGCACAGGTCTCATAGCAGATGGTATGTTTGGGTAGTTAATAACCGATTTTTTTTCTTGGACATACCTGTGGCTTGTCCAACACAAGGTACCATGCAAAAGTAACAATCATTATTATGATTTGTAGGCTCTCTCCAAACCATTGGGACAGCAAAGCGCATAGACCGTTTTTTGCCATTTAACCAGCTCCTCAGACTTCAAGCACATGTATTACAGCAGATGTGGGGTGCCCACTGTTTGTCTTGATCACCTAGTTTACAACCGAAATAAAGCTGATATGCCTTTGTTATTAGTGGAGTAATATAGACCGTCTCTGAGACGCAAAAGTCACATCACCACACACGTAACAAAACTGATCTGGATTGTTTACACACTTTCGAGACATCTTGCATGAACGCTGTCAGCCAACTGAGGAAAAAATGGCTAATATAAAACAATATAATGTACACGTATGTATAACGTAACACAATCATGCCGATTACATCGTCTTTCCTTTCCTTTTCTTTCTTGTGAATTACAGTATGTTAACACTGTCACAGCAGGAACACATATAATTACCGTATCTCTAAAACTTGAACTAATATTGAAAAAATAAGTTTCATTCCGGTTTTAGCACATTAAAAATAGTAATATTTTGTTGATTTTATTTAGGATATTTTTTTGGCTGTTGATCAGTGTAATCTAACAATGCACTACACCGCATTGTTTCAGAAATGTTTCACTTTCAATGCTGTGAGGTTATACAACTCAACCGACACTGCCTGAAGAAGCAAAAGTGTAGTAACATTCAGGAAGCTGGTTAAAAATCAGCTGTTAGATGTATCATGATTAGTTGTTATTATCATTATGTTTTTTTTTTGTGTTGTCATCCGTTCAGTATTGACTGGTTCCTTTTTGGTAAACCAATATCTATAGCGCGGATTCATCAATTGATTGTATTTTTTCCCTTTATTATTAGCTCACTTAGTTGAAAGCCAGATCGATGTATTTATTTTTAGGTTGCATGTATGCGACTTTGAATTTCCGCCCACAATAGGGTTGAGTGTAAGAGTCGCCAACTGGCTAAACTTCGCCCTATTGTTGTGTTGCTAATAATAAAGACATTTATTATTATTATTAATATTATTATTATTATTATGCGTGAATAAGCACGCCCTGGTTTTTCTTTATTCTGATGACAGTCGAATGCGAATGCTGTTGAATACAAATAAGAAGAAATTTGAATAAAATGTAAAGACTTTTATTGGATTTCGTTACCTAATTATTTGTAAGTCAGTGGGTAGCGTAACACATGTAAGTAAGACAAACATATGTGTATGGTGATATACTCGTATTAGTTGCGTGGGAAGTATAGACCCTGTACTTACTGGTTTCTGAACTCTACAGAGTTAATCTACTTAACGCTATTTATCTTGGTATCGCCACCGTCTTTAACATGGGCGGAGTTAGCGAAAGTTTGCTGGGGGAAGACTTATTGCACGATTTCTAATATGCTATGTTGAGGCTTGAAAACTAAAATAAAAAAATATAAAATTGAGTGAAACATATTTTCCTGTGTCCGCTTTTGGAAATTTCCCGGTTAGAACTTCTAACTTCAGATTCCTCAATATGTTGGATTCTGAAAACAAAACAACCAAGTTTGAAAGCCGCTCTTGGTCCATTGAAGATTTTAACCATCAATTATTAATTCGACGCATTGTAGAAAATAACCTCCGACCAGTTGCACGATTGGATGGAAGAGTGAGACCAATCTTTAGAAGAATTTTTAAAATTCCGATAAATATCGCCTTCATCGGTTCCCCAGTAACTGCACCAACTCGTTGAAAAATTGTCGATTTTTCCTCGGGCTTTGCACCATTTCCCTCCAGAAAATGTCTAAGAATAAATAAGTACCTATTTTGGCTACAAACATAATTTTTTGTTTAATCCCGGTATAGGAATTTTTTTAAGAATGGTTTGGCTCTTTCATTTTAGTGCCCAAGGACTCCTCACTTGTGGTAGTCACCTCCAATACTTCATCGGCGAACCTTCCTTTGAATTCTCTAATATATCCAGGACTGGGTACAGGTCGCTGCGACACTTGTTCACACCAATTTCACTGGTTGTCAATGAAATTATGCATATCGGCTCTTCTCTATTAATTGTTCATAAGAGGAAGATAATCTAAACTATGAGTTGTTGAAAAGATAGTAAACTTTTTCTAAACGCTTACATTTACGTAGATAGCATAGCAACGTCCCCTATGACCCTTCCTCCTATAGTCTTTAGGATAAGATAAAACTGACTACTTTAATCTTAGGATGGCACTTTTGGAATGAATCCGACCGTGCGTTTTATCACAAATATTGTAACTCTGGAAGGACTAGACCCTGGCCTAACTACTCCATAGAATGCCTATTGAGGGCTGCTTAACATAAACTACATGAGCTTAACAGCAATCTAGTTACTCACCACACGTACCCTTTATGATTCAAACGGGCGTGATCATTTCTGCAGAAAAACACTTTGCAAATCTGGCAACGTCGCATTGTGAGGGACGCGGAGAAAGGGGGCAGCGATTCATGCTAGACGCGCGCGGTACAAGGCGGGAAAGACGTAGTATGCTCAGGTCTATAATACTCAAAGGGCGGGGCTTCACTGCCAGCTGGCAGACGATCGCCGACTATTATTACGCGACGTAAAGTAGATCCGCACGTTTTTCTACTATTTCTAAGTTATTTCAAGCAATACTGATATACTTTTTCGGGTTAGGTTTGAGAAAATTGTTTTACAAAAGACAGTCGATAGTGAATTATCGTAGAAACGCATTTAGAGAAAAGACGCTTCCAATGTATCGGCGTATCCCGCCAATGATCGGCGTCAACCTGGTCTCAGCTGTTTCCCGCCAAACGCCACCGCCAGAAAACCGCTGTGAGGCGTAGTGTGTGTACGTGTTCCCGCGCTCCAGCGTACTATCATCATCGGATACCTTGTGATTACCCGAAATATCGTAAGTACTGTCGCCGGTGATCATTTCGTAATTCCTACGTAAGACATGTCGGTGTACGTGAAAAGTGAGGACAGAATCGTGTTCGACGAGAGTGGAGACGAGAAGAACGAAATAATCGCCAGCATTTCCAGGTAAGGACCCCCTTCGTGTTGTGTTGCACGATTCTCCGTAGTGTTTACCGCCTGCCCTCTGCCACATGATTTTGACGTTTTGCGTTGGCGGCATGTCATTCGAATGGCCAAGGATATGGCGGGATACAGGGTGCTTTATTTTTGATCGACATTTCCTTTTAAACTTTAAAGCCGGTTTTCATGTTATCGTGTATCAGCTCAACTTTGCGAACTCGATTAAATCTTGCCAATGTTTTGTAACATCCGTAGTTACAAAAGCTCAACAGGAATGTCCTGGATAGGGGCCATAAAATGAAATGAGAGCAATATAGACGGTTTCAGGCAAAAAGGTTTTTTACGCGATTGTAGGCGCCACCTTAACTACTAACCAAAATGTTATGCATGAATTGTATTTTATTGGGCTTTTTATCTATGGTAATGAGCTTTCCGCGTAACAGTTGAAATAAAAAGTATTTTATGTTTTTCCGAAGCTCATTTTACGGTTTCTTATCGAGGTTATTTTTATAATAATAAGTCCATTAATTGAAACCGTTTGTTATTAACCTAATATACAAAATTAGAATACCAACTTGTTTACGCGTTTAATAATAGATTATAAAATTATCGGTTGTATTGCCAATATTTATGAACTATAATTTTTGTCATACATTATGCTGCTTCAATTAATTGAAAGAAAAACTTTGTAAACTCCATATGAGTACTATTCTGTGTAGATTTTCACTCTTCTGTGGAAAGATTATTTAGGTACCTAATATGTCGGTGTGTTGATTAATATGGAGTCTTTAGTAATTTGTTGTCCAAAAGAAAAAAATATGAGCACGTCATATATTTCATAATACATTTTGGAATAAAATAGCAATCCTACTGTATTGGAAATATCTTTTACCTGTCATTAATATTGAAACCTCAATTGACGTAAATAGATCTATTTTGTAAACAGGTTCACGAATGCCTCTGATTGAGTTTCGTTGACTCTTTTGATCTATTTCCTCAAGGTTCACCAAAAAATGCTTTAATTTTAGAAAGTGCTAGAAATTTTAGAATACATCATAACCATATGTAGGTTTTCTTTTTTTCGATGCCACATGCTTAAGAAAAGGTGAATGAGATTCTGAGTCACATCCACAGTATGTATGCGAATGTTAGTTATAGTGAATCATCCATTCAGTATAATACACCAATTCATTCTAATGTTGCTTGAATATTTTGTCACCTTCTCCTTTATCAAATGATATTCGTCACCACATGACATGGACGATAAAATTTGGAGTAGGTTGTTCCCGTAGGGCTACGTTTATTTAACACACACACCCTCTTCCATACAGGCTGCACTTCATCCCATATGTCGAAAATTGGTAAGGCATCAGCTGTCTTGCTATTATGGTGGCTCCAGTGTTGGAAACGAATTTTCGTATGAATGCTTACTAGAAAACGTAGGGACATTGTGTGAATTAGTGGACAAAATGATATCCAAATGCCTAGTTTGTTTGTTCTTATAATGGCTCCAGCTGTTATTAGTTTGTCCTAATTCCTTGTCTGATGATAAGCTGAGAAGGTTCTGCACTAATAAAGTTAGTTTTGTGTTAATGTTATCATCACGAAAACTCGTCATTTGTGAGTGGTTCATTGGAGGTTGGTTTTCAAAATAAAGAGTAATTTAGAAAATTGTGGAAATATTTCTGTAACAGAAAGTTGGTCCAAAATAAGTTATTATATAAGCATGGGTTGATCATGTTTTAATTTAGAAATTGATAAAAATATTTCGAAGTATATTCAAGTTACAGAGTTGAAATGCTGTACATACATGTAGTACCTACTAACTGATGAACCAATACAATATATGAAAATTTACAGAAGGAAGGCAACTGAGTTTTTTGAAACATCTATTGCATTTTTGCTCAATTTTAGATGAATCACTTCCCGTGAAAACATTTTATCAGATACCTCCTGTTGGAGACATATTGATATGTAAAATTCATATAAACAACTTTATCCCATCTTAATTTAAAACCATGCACAGAGATTAGTGAAATTTGACATTGAAAATTGAATGTAATATAATATGTATTATATGTATATATATAAGAATAATTCCATCTCATCATAGCCTTATTTGAACAATATTTATGTCTTGTACTTATTCAGTTTCATCAGTGCTATAGAAATTTACGACACCCTGCATATTGGTAATAGAATTTGACCCCGAAAGCAACTCAAATTTGAAGTTGAACGTATCTTTGAAATTGTTGCCTTCAAACACAGTATTGTACTTTGACGAACAAAAAGTGTCTTAGCGCTCATCCTGTTTCGATGGACGGCCGAGTCCTGCCAAAGATCAGATCAGATCAGCGATGACTTGATCTGGCACGAACGTATCTCAATACCGGCAGCTGCTGGGAAAAAGCTAGGCTATTTGTTTAGGGCTGACAAGTACTTTTCTCCACATGGCCTCCCCTTTCTATACAAGGCCCATCTTCGAGTATTCTCATGTTTTTGTTCGAGTCGATTTTAGGACAGAAAACCCCTCTTATAGGCCCTGATCATTTGAAATCACATAACGAAAACTTCCTAGCAGCTCCGTCTGTAAGAATCAGCATGTATGACATCGTTAGCAAGACTGTGCAACTACACCGGCAGTCCATGCCGATGAATCATCACTGCAAGGGCGTCACACGGTAACCCAACATAAGGCGCGTTGGTGGCTGATATGCTGATTTTGTATAAATGCATGCGCTACACCGACATTCACACGTTAAAATTACAACCAAGCTACGGGTAGACGTCCACATGTGGGCGTGCAGCGTTATAATTCCAAAATCGCCACGCCTTAATCTTTCTCGGAAAATCGCAGGATTTTTTCTGTGGGCCGATGTGACGTCAAATGGTCAGTATTTTTTAATGCAACCTTGGAAATAATAAATGCATTGATTACATTAACAATTACATAGTACATCTAAATGGATCGATACGTGTATTATTTTGTCAAAACAGGGTTAGTTTGATAGATTTGATGTGGCAAAGTGTCAAATATGTATTATACATGCACGGCGTATTTTAAGGAGGTCTGTGTAATAGCGCCGCCAGAATCCCATGCAAATCTCGGCAATCGGTCGCACAATTACCTGTGGCAGGGTATATATTTTTATATACAGGGTGACTTTGAAGTTGAGTCATTAATTTTCAGATAATGATTGTAGAAGGAAGATAAACCAAAATATGTGTGTAAAAATAAAAAAAAATTTTACCTTGTTTTATAAAGTATCCTCCCGACAAGTATTTCAGTGCGGACCTGTATTTGATCGTGAGGTCCCCTGTGAGGTCTTAAGTCACCTGATTCACAAGCCCGTTGTACTACATTAACAAAGGCACGAGGGGTTGGTTGCACTCGATTGGGAAACCGATCCGCATAAACATGTGCCATTTTTTATTTCGTTTGAGCCACGCAACACATACCACTATTCACTGACACTAACTGTATACAAATGAATGAGATACCTGTAAAAACATCGTTCCAAATTCTTTCGCTTTTTTGTTTCCGATGCGATGAACCGATACGGCGGATTATATCCATTGTCGCCAAACACGACCACATAATATTGTTATTGAGACAGGGCGGTACTCAAACTTCCAAAGGGCTATAACTTTATTACTTTAATTTTACCAGGAAAATGGTAAAGGAAAAAAACATTTCTTTTGATCAGATCTACTCACTGTTAAAATAAATGACTCAACTTCGAAGTAAATATAGGCCAACCCGACACCTACTTGATTACCAGCGATATCAAAAATCAAACTGCAATGTAATTAATATATGCTACTTCGACTGCTTGACTGTTACTCGACGCCCCCCGGTGACATTTTTCATGAAGTTCTACAAGTAGTCCTTGACTGTGTGTTGGCATGATAACCTAAGGTTAAAGTTTTATCCTTCGAGTCCGGTATTTCAAAAAAATTGTCTGCACACCTTGATTATACGTTTTCAGTGCCAATATAAAGTACTTTGACCTTTCATACCATTTTTATAAATTTAATTCCATAACCAAATTCACACTTCGATTTACTGGTGCAGTAGAATAGACCATCCAAGTATTTTTCATGATACTTCATTGCGATTCGGTCAAACGTGACAGCAAATAACATCTGATTATCTAGTAACATTCAAAATATCCGGATTCATATTTTCAAACAACGATTTTATTTAGAAGTTCCTACGTACAAAAGAAAAACGATACAAGCAAAATACCTGGTATAATCATTACATCATTTCAGGTCAGGTAAGAATAAAACAAACAGTTTTTGACTGTGATCACCGTTTCAACCTTCTCGCGATTTTCATCCGATTTATTTTTGCCAACAAACAGTACAGACACACAAATAAGTCACTTACTTCTTGATCAGCCGTTCACCTTCGTATTGAAGTATCGTGAAAAAGCCTCAACTATGACAAAAAATGACTTGTAAAAAAGGAAATAAACAAAATTCTGCTGAAAACAGCATACAACCTGATTCTACGACGTATTTTAGCGTACCTACGTGTATCTTATACACTGTGTAAACTGGGTGCATGGTGAAAAGAAGTAGAGAATATTATATGTAAGTCATTCAACGACCTATATGACGCGGGCGTGTCTCGCTCTGTTAACAGACAGACGTCGCATCTCAACAAACTCACCTAGCAATCGTGGTCGGCTATGGTATGGCGGCGCTGAGCGAATGTTTTCGTATTAGTCCAGGCGATATTTTTATCCGACTGCCTCTGAAGCATGGTTATGTTTTTCGCGAGTGGGTCTGTATGTTGACGAAAAAATTCATCTCACGGGATACAGCACACACGGCTTAATGGATTTTAAAATTTGACCCGTCCGACCGAAGTGGATAATGCCCGACGCGGAATTTGTAACGCACATTCAATACGAGGAGGTACCCAAAAATAACCGGAAAAGCATTGCATTGGGCGGAGCTTGTGTAGCACACATTTCTGCCCCTAGAGGCGTACAGCGCTCATTACCAATTCAGTGCCACCTGAGGTGTCGGTCTGGCTTGATTTGTCATTATTTTTGCTAGAGCTGTGTCGTTCTTTACGATGGCAGCCTTCAGTGAGCAATGTGCAGCTGTGAAATGTTGCTTTCCAATTGGTAAAAATGCTGCTGAAACTGTTTTAATGTTGAAAATAGCTTACAAAGATGATGCTATAGGAAAAACCTCAGGTGTACGAGTGGTTTGCTCGATTTAAAAATGGCGACATGTCGTTTGATGACAAACCTCGCTCTGGACGTCCATAAACTACCCGAATCGACGAAAATGTTGAAAAAATTCGAGAGCTTGTGCTATTTGGAGGTTTTAAGTCGATTGCGAAAGTGTTCGGCAAAGAAGACCCAATTTGTGGCAGTCAGGAGTCTGGTTATTCCACCACGATAGTGCAAAAATGGCATGGTTCCGCTGCCTCACGCACTTTATTCGCCCGTCCTGGCTCCGTGCGAGTTTTTCTTATTTCCACGGATAAAAAGGGGCATGAAAGGACGCCGCTGTGACGACATTGAAGAGGTCAAGAAAAAAACGAGGGAGGAGCTGTCAGACATTTCTAAGGAAGACTTCAAAATATGTTTGGAGCAGTATAACACCGGTGGGACAAGTGTATTAGTTATAGTGGAAAAATTTTGAAGGAGATAAGGTTACTTTGAGAAAAAGTTGAAAATATCTTTTAAAAAATAATTCCGTTTGTTTTTTGTGTACCCCCTCGTATTCATGTTGTACATTGATTTTCAACTTAAGAAAATATGGTCATATTAGTTCATGTTTCGAACGGCTGAACTGGTTGAATGATGCAAAGTTGTATAAGTTTTATCTATTATGCTACATCCACAAACTCCTACATACTCTGATTGCTTCATTTTTGTAGATGACGTATCAATCTAAACGCCGTGAATAAAAAACTTCATAGAAAGTGAAAGTCAGAGGAACAATATTTCGATAGACATCATATATATCATAATATATTTGCGTGGTTCAAATACATCATTATGTCAGTTTAGTTTCTAGAATTGTCAACTGTCAAACACTGACGAGTTTAAATACATATATATTTCAGACCTACGTTTATTTCAACTATTATTATATTATTTCCATATTTTGACTTGCCTTCAATTTTTCTATCAGCATTATGTAACACCCTGTGTACTGGATGTCCTCAAAGTAGAGACTTATTTTGTTTTCAACATTTCATAGCTATTGGGTGCTAAAATTTGTTGATTGGAACTTGAAGCTCATTCGTTGTAAGTATTTGACGGTCTGTTACCCCATAGGTGGAGAATAACGGACTGTTGTTGGTGAATTTGGCCCTTAGTATCATAAACACTAAAGAATACCAAGGTAAAAGGTTCTGAAGAAATCTGCTCGGCTAAATCCGATGATGCCTTCCACACAGTTATTAGCTGAAATGATACGATGCATGTCGTGTGTGTGGGTAAGCAGAGCTGTTTGTTTAAAAATCAAAATAAAAAAGAAAAGGTTCTTGTAGAAATATCGAATTTGTCGCCATGGTGTTAGTTTACTGTTTTCGAGATGCTGCTGAGACTTCCCGAGCGTATTCAGCTCGTTTTCGTTGAGGCTCACATTCCGTGCCGCGTCGGTTTGTTTATGTCATAAAAAGTCAGGAAACACACAGTTCTGGATAAATAAAATATTATCAAAAGTGTCATGCACTGAAGAAGGTCACCGTTGTGACCGAACTACATTAAAAAAGAATTCCAAATATATACGGTTTCATTGGCCATGTAAACATGGGAAATTATCGACACAGGATAAGTTTCAGATGTCACAAAAAAGTTAGGGTCACTGGCAGTTTGCCGGATTGTGGAGGTGGGCATAGAGGAGAACCTAGACTACCCCAAATGTTGCAAATTTGTGTTTTTGGAATTAGGCGGCGATAACGGGCACTGTGACATGGCGGTACTTGAACTTTTTGTACAAGCTTTTATTCAAATAAATGGTGGGCTTTTTCTTCAAATTATCGCTTCACTGTTTCATAATCAGCAGCTGTGTTATTTCAAGCGTAGTTATTCCTGAAAAAGAATGGTCCCATTTTGTATCCGAATTTTGTGATCAGGTCATTTTTTAGAGATTCCGCCTGGACTATAGCGAATGTTTTTCATCATAGGATGTCAATGGCAACAAACGCAGTACCAACAACAGTCGCTGCCGGTGTCCGTCCGGTTTTCATCATTTTATTTCTGTTTGCCGTGGAAATAATGATTGTTTGAAGGACGTTGAAGGCCACGCCGCCGCTGCCACTGAGGTGCCGGCGGTATTTACGCGTCATTTTTGAACGGACGGTGCGGCGTAGACTAACAGGGAGGTCGTTTTTGTGTATTAGGTATTTGGATAGGCTTTTCCAGAATAAGATGGTCTTGTGTTTAGTTTTCTTCACAACAGAATATGTAAACAATAATTCTGGTTTATAGCATCACCCTCCTCCCACTAAGATCATTGCAACGGTAACTGGGGCAACGTAGTGACAAAATCGCTTATAGATAGACTGGTGGAAATAAATAACATTTTTCATACGTTTCACAGCCAAACTATTTGACTTACTTTAAATTGGTACTCTTGATCATGGATAACGATATCCCCAAGTGAAATGATGTATGCTGACATTTGGAGAAATACGGAGTATGCCACTTGAATTTTTTTATACGAATTTTAACTTTCACTTCTAAGACCTACGAACCACCAAGCTGTTGAAAAAATATGAGATATTTTTTTGTAGCAAATTTTATTCGTCTTAAAAAGTAATTCTGGCTTACTAGTTTAGCTGTTTGTTATAAACGAACTATAATTACTTGTAACTTCGTCGTTCAGCATTTCGTAAACTGTTCGCTGTACCGTAAAATTCTACAGAATCAAACACCGGTAGTTTTCGAGATAATTGTCTACGCGGTTATCAAAATGGCTACTAATGCTGCCGGGCTCTAACATGACACCAAGTTAGATTTATAATTACAAAGCAGTATTCTAACGACATACCAATAAAAAATATTCTGTTGCAGTTTTTGTAAGACCGAATCACTTATTTCCTGGAGTACTGGAGCTGTTGAGCAACTCTAAGCTGTTCATTTTATATTTAGATCAACTCCTTTCCGACCATTAACTTGTAAGTCATAATCGTGTACGCAAACTTGTACGTCATTATCCTTCGTCCGAAGTTCGACTTAGCTAAGGAACTCAACGCATAACAATCAGTCTGAAACACTAACTTGGTGAATAGGTTGAATAGCAGCAGCTAACAGCATGTTGACTGTTGAGCGAGCGAATGAATGCGTTTATCTGGACCGCGAGCGGCCATTGTGTGTTCTGCATTTCGCTCGTAGTGTAACGAAAATAGAAATACGGTCCGCGGCGCCACTCGCCTCATTGCACCACAAAACGCCTCAGCAGTCGGCCAACCCGGTTTCCCAGATAAAATGCACTCGGTCGAGGCCTCCTACACATTTCTATGTACACTATGAGAAAACGAAAACCACGCTTTGTCGAATAAGTAATGTTCAAATTCGCCTAGGAAGTCATGGCGCCTGTATTGTGGCGGTTAGCGTGCTCGAAAGGATGGCGCCAAGGTTAAAGTCGTATTATCCTAATTCTGCGGTTGAGCCACGGGAGTAACCAATTTTCCGTCCTCTAATTTCTGCTGGAACCAGGTTGTACACCAAACTGGACTTTATATTGATGGGGGATCCACCTACAAAAATTGATGCTCTGACTCAGTAACAAAAACATTATTTTTAAAATTCAGAAAACCGGCACGGGTAGATATTACGTATCTTGAAAAGTGACATTATGTCGATTTTTTTGACATTATATTGGCTTTTTATGACATTATGTAGGTTTTTCTACGAGATGTTAACTTAGCACTAGCTGATGGACACGTTGTCAACTCGTTTTGTATTTGTACGTGTTGCCTAAACGTCATGCGGCTTCAGGTATCAATCTTTGGCTCTGATGTGATGTAAAATATGCTTCAGAGATGGCATTGCTGGAGGTAACGGCAATGCATAGGTGCATAGTGAGGATTGGTGTGCTAATTATATGTGTTGGATTCTTGTCTCACATACTCTCACTTGAGATTCAAAGCTAGAAATTAGTTGCGAAACCACTTTTTCTTATCCATTGTGGAAATTACATTTATGCAAATTTGCTGAATTCAAAAAATGAGAGAGATAAGAAATAATTATACTCTGTTCACTGTCGAATTACAAGTCATATACGTGCTAACAGTAATTACACACAACGCGGGCGCGGTTGTGATTTTCCGTAATTCTACTCAAAGTTTTTGAAAAGACAAAAAAACGTCAAAAATCGTAATTTATAACTTTGAACATAACCTATCTTCAGAAAGGACAACATATAAATAACCCGGACGGGCCTCAGAACACTGCGCGCCAGATGCCTCATTATATTAAGCCGTTTGACGTGTATCCAGTGAAATAGATGATTTGTTCGTACACATACATACCCACGCGCGAATAACGTAACCCTCCTTTAGAGGCAGTCGGATAAAAATATCGCCTGGACTTACCTGAAAACATCTGCCAAGCGCCGCCATGCCATATCCAACCAAGATTCGTGGCTGACTGTTGATATCCGATGATTGAAAATTACTTCTTTTCACCATGCACCGAGTTCACACGGCGTACAAGATACGTACACTAAAATACCTCGTAGAATCGCCAAACAGGTTGTATGCGGTTTTAGGTAGAATTTTGTTTAGGTATTTCCTTTTTTACATATTTTTTGTCATATTGAGGTTTTTTCTCGATACTTCATTACGTTTTGACAAGTATCAAGGTGAACAGATGATCAAGAAGTGCCATCTTTGTGTTAAATTCTGTACTGTTGGTAATAGTGAATCTGATGAAAATACGTGAAACCCAGGTTCATATTTAGAATAAGCGGTTTACATAGTCAAAAACTGTTTATTTTTGATACCACCATCAATATAACGACAAGTTTGGTGTACAACAGGGGCGGGAATTAGAGGACGCAAAATTGGCTAACTGGTTGAACCGGTGGCTCAACCGGTGACTTAAAGGATACGCCTATTACTCGAAAAGATGAGTCTCTTGGTGACAACATGACAAATAATTTATGAGTTGCTTCGCTAATTTGTTATCTGGTGTGTTTCAAATAAGTCTCTGTGTGAAATATAATCAAAAATAGTGAATTAAACATTTAACTATTATGAATTGTGCGGGTTGTTCAAGTAACAACAAGAAAATCAAAGATAAGACAATTGGCGTTTCTTCAGTTTTCCAAAGAACAAACAAGTTGCCGAACAATGGGTTCTGATGTCTTATCAGCACCTCAA